AGGCTTATTTATCTTTTAACAGCTAAATCACTGTCTGAAAAGAAACATACATGTACCTTGGTAAGCTTAAAAATTAACAGTGCAGATAAGGAGAATTAACCTGTTTTTAAAAATGTTGAAGTTTTAGCTAATGCTAATATGCATTTTATTATTTGCAGGGCAGAATGCATAGCTGTCACTAAAATCCATGATGCATAACTGCCCTTTAAATTGTTTTCTTCTATAAAGAGGTTAGTCACTTGAGCTGTGGTTAAAATATTCTGTAAAACTGAGTCAGGTTCAATGCAGAAGAACTAATTTTATGTTTAAAAGGTGTTTCAGAAACCACTAACTCTCTACCTAGAGTCAACTTCATGCATTGATTCAGGGAAGCAAGCGAAGCAAGACTGCTCAGCCCTGGTAGGATGAGGACTGGGAAGCAGGCTGTATTGCCTGGGAAGTGGAAGTAAAGAAGAACCACCTTCCACTACAAATGCCAATAGTCAGAAACCATAGCTATGGCTACAATCTGCTGAGCATGGTCAATGGCTCATGTAATTTGCCCAAGTTCCAGACCCCAAGTAGAGATGAGCTGGAGTTGCATGAGCAGGCCCTTGTCCCCTGCTCCTAACTTCTTCTGTGTGCAAGCTCAGCAGCCATTAGCACCTTCAACATGTCCTGGAATCTGCTGAGATTAAGAAATTACTGGAGAGAGAATATTAGTGTATTATGTTTGGCTATAAAAAGTGTGATAAAAAGCTGATAAAGGAATTATGTATCATATTTCCATAAAATCGTAGAATATCCTGAGTTGGAAGGGACCTGCATCAAAGTCCAAATCCTGGCCCCAGGAATCGCATCATGTGCCTGAGGGTGTTGGCCAAACACTTCTTGAACTCTGTCAGGCTTGGTGCTGTGATCACTTCTCTGGGGAGCCTCTTCCAGCACCCAACCACCCTCTGAGTGAAAAACGTTTTCCTAACATTCAACCTAAACCTCCCCTGACACAGCTTCATGCCATTCCCTTGGGTCCTGTTGCTGGTCACCAGAGAGCAGATATTTTAATTGTATAAGAAGGAATACAGCACATAGATATGCATAAAGAAAAATTTTCTTCACAGTGAACTACCCTAGAAGGGGAGAGGATGGGTCTAGGAATCAGTTAAGTATTATCCAGTGAATACTAGAGCAAAGGTTGAGCCAGAGGGCCTGTGCAAGCAAGTCATAAAGGAGTAGCACTGTAGTTTCCCTGCATGCCAGGGACACTGCACACCCTGAGCTGGAGCCTCACACTTGTCATCTTTACCAGTCTGGCAGAGAAATAAAGCAGCTTCTGCAACATAGTTATGCAAGTCAGCTACTGCTTCACTGGCATCATGTGCAGTTCTTTTTATTGCCACCTTCTTCCTAAAGACAGTGGCACCTACCCCTGCACTGGCTGCAGACAATATCCACTGTCCAGTGTTCCCAGTTGGAGGTATCCCCTCTGGCCAAAGGACATGGTTTCCAGAAGGCCTCAGCTCCATTCCCTGGGAAAAAAAATTACAAACTCCTGGACTTGATATGCATATAGTTAAAGAGATGAGGAGAGTTTTGAGGGGAAAGGAAACATAAAGGTATCAGAGAAATAAACCAGTAAGGAAAAGGGATAGGAACATTACAAGAATCATAGAATTGTTAACGTTGGAAAAGACCTCTAAGATCATCAAGTTGAAAGAAAAAAGGAAAGGAGACAGGTAATTGTCAAGGAATAGACTGGACTAGAAATACTTCATTCTGATACAAGTTTTTCTAGGAACTGCAAGTCTTAGCTCCTGAGTAGAACTGTCAGCACATTTCTGGAAGGTGAAGCATGTTCTGGATGTATTTCAACAGAGAATACACAGAATGCATCTTCTACCCCGAAGACCTTACTGGGAGAATTTGGAGTGGCTTTTATAAACATTATTTTGGATATTTTGTGTTACATTACCAGTCTTGTAATTGCACCACACCTCACAAATTTTCAATTTGACTTTACAAGTCTTCCTCTGTGATAGTGGTATTGCCTACACTTTCCAGAGGTGCCCAGCCTTCTGCTCTGAGGTCTTTATCTGTCACTCCACTCTCAGGTCAGTGTTGTATGGGTATATGGGGTGTGCAGGGAGTCAGGGGGCAGATTTTCCTCTAGCTGGGAGGGAAATGAGTCTTTTTTGCTTTTTGCGGTTGGCCATCTATATATGTGGTCGTTCCCAACTGATGTGCTCAAGGTCTCTGTTGCCTGGCTGGGGGAAAGAGAAGCTCAGAGCAAGGTGGTAACAAGGTCACATTAAAGCAACTTTTTTCATAGATTCATAGATTGTTAAGGGGTTGGAATGGACCTTGTAGATCATCTAGTCCCAAGCCCCCCTGCCATGGGCAGGGACAGAGTCCCTCTCTGGCTTCCCTGTAGGTCCCTTCAGATACTGGAAGGTTGCTACGAGGTCTCCACACAGTCTTCTTCTCCAGGCTGAACAGCCACAACTTCCTCAGTCTGTCTTCACAGGGGAGGTGTTCCAATCCTCTTATTTATCAACTCCCTCCTCTGGACTTGCTTCAATAGTTCCATGTCCATCTTATGTTGAGGGCACCAAAACTGTTTGCAGTACTTCAGATGGGATCTCACAAGAGCAGAGAGGGAGAATCACTTCCTTTGACCTGCTGGCCACATTCCTTTTGATGCAGTCCAGGACTCAGTTGGATTTCTGGGCTGCAACCTCACACTGCAGCTTATGTTGAGTTTCTCATCCATCATCACGCCCAAAACTGTTTGCAGTACTTCAGATGGGATCTCACAAGAGCAGAGAGGGAGAATCACTTCCTTTGACCTGCTGGCCACATTCCTTTTGATGCAGTCCAGGACTCAGTTGGATTTCTGGGCTGCAACCTCACACTGCAGCTTATGTTGAGTTTCTCATCCATCATCACGCCCAAGTCTTTCTCCTCAGTGCTGCTCTCAATTACTTGAGGAAGAATACAAGTTACACTGATCAATTTTGTATAACCAATGTTATGTTGCTGAAATGAAACAATGCTATGTGCTGAAAAAAGAGCTGATGGGGGGTAAGAAGTCTGGATTGGACGAATAGAGAGCTTTGACTGGAACTCAGGATATAAAGGAGTTTTGGAAGAAGGGGCAGAGAACACAGGGCTCTGCAGAGGAAAAAAGTCGGGTAGGAGTGTTGATCTGCTGGAGAGTAGGAAGACTGCAGAGAGATCTGGATAGGCTGGATCGATAGGCTGAGGCCAGTTGAATGAGGTTGTCATGGTTTAAACCCAACCAGCAGCCAAGACCCACACAGGCTCTCACTCCCTCCCCCACCAGTGGGATGGGGGAGAGAATCAAAAGGGTAAAAGCGGAAGGACAGTTTAATAGGGAAAGCAACAGCCACACACAAAAGCAAAGCAAAACAAGGAATTAATTCACTGCTTCTCATGGGCAGGAGGTGTTCAGCCATCTCCAAGAGAGCAGGGACTCATCACGTGCAATGTTAAACTCCATCCCCCCTTCCTCCTTCTTCCCCCACTTTATATACTGAGCATGATGTCATATGGTATGGGACATCCCTTTCATCAGTTGGGATCACCTGTCCCTGCTGTTTCCCCCCAGCCTCTCATGCATCCCCAGCCTACTCACCAGTGTGGCAGTACAAAAGGCAGAAAAGGCTTTGGCTCTGTGTAAGCTCTGCTCAGCAATAACAAAAACATCTCTTATCAAACCTGTGTTCAGCACAAATCCAAAACATAGCTCCATACTAGCTACTGTGAAGAAAGTTAACTCTGCCCCAGCCAAAACCAGCACAGATGTTCAACAAAGCAGAGAGCTGAGTCCTCTACTTGGTTCACAACAGCCCCATGCAGCACTACAGCCTGGGGGAGAAGTGGCTGGAAAGCTGCCTGGAGGAAATGTATCTGGGGGTGTTGGTTGACAGCTGGATGAATATGGGCCAGAAGTGTGCCCAGGTGGTGAAGGAGCCCAGTGACATCCTGGATTGTATCAGAAATATTGTGGCCAGCAGGACTAGGAAGTAAAGTCTCTCTTCTTGAGTTAATACAGTAATACTGGTAAATATGAGAGAGTGCCATACTTAGTAATTACTGGTCAGGTTATATGCAGTATTTTATCTCTTTTCTGCTTGTTTCTGAAGGACAAATTTTGACTTCAGAATGCTAGGCATAATTTGCAAATAGACGTGGCTTGAAATCCACAGCAAAGGTGTGCAGTGCTGACCTCCCTTTGCAGCAGCATGTTGTGCCAGGAGAGGGTAAGTGTGTGGGCATGTGAGCAGTGATGGGGCCTGTGCTTGCAGGTGTTGATGGAACTTCTGGGCCAGGCACGAGCAGGTTTTTGCATGTTGTAAGAAACACATTCTGTTGGCAGCACTTCTGATTCACTGATTTTTGTTTTCCCATCAGCATGATTAGCATGTTGTCCTTAGGCCCTGTTAAGTGAAAGCCATTCCAAGAGATTAATGAGTAGCCAGACTGTAGAACTAAGAATTCAGGGGCAGGTACAGTCACAGCCAGTCAGTCTGTGTATGTTTCTTAAGCAGCTGCACAATGGCATGTTCACATGTATCAGCAGAGCTCTTATGAGTGTCAGTAAAGCCTTCATGTTCTCACTGTGTCCCTCCTCCTGTGAATTCAAGAGTCACTCCCCTCTTTGCCCTGTGCACCTACAGTGCCACTGAGAGTAGTGGGTTCAGAGGACAGCACCCAGGGAGGTGAAAAGAGGGAAACAGCTTCCAGCCAGATCTTTTGCTTTCTTTCTGTGATGCTGAGGGCAACCACAGGTGGGGTGTAAAAAAGGGAGGGAAAAGCATGACAAAGGAGTCAGGAAAAGGGAAGCACTGTAAAGGTTGAGGCTTCATCAGATGAGTGGTTTAATTTCATTCTAGCATTTTGGCTGATTAAGAGATTAAGGGGTGGGACTCTGAGCTGGGAGGCTTGGCTAGAAGATAAGAACAGTCCACTTGTGGAAGCACTTACAAGACAGTCTTCTAGTGTGTTGGACAGGACCTGTGGTATCAGCAACACAACTGCTTCAAGGCTGACAATTCTTGGTGCCAGAAACCAGTGGTGGCAAGGCTCGAAACAGACACACACTGGTCAACATGAGCACAGCAGGCAAAGTAAGTCAAAGTTTATAATAGAAAAGTTTCTTTGCTGCAGCTGAGTAATACATCTTAAAATGCAGATTCTTTGCAGGGACAGTGTAAGTCCTGGTGGTATAGTGCAGATGAGAGTTTAGGATGAAGCTGGTGCAGAAGAGCTGCCTTTATTTGCAGGTTGCTGTACTTTCCTAGGAAATGGTTGTTAACTCTTCAAGGCAATACTTTATTTGAATCAACATACAGTAATAGCACCAAAATAAGAATTACCTTCCCTTAGGGTTAGCAAACTGGTTTTAGTCTCTGACTGGGTAGTTTAAAATATGCTAGAATGTAGTAAGTGTTCAGACCAATGTATTTATCAGCTGTATCGGTTTTTATTCTGAGGTCCCACAGTGGTTTAAACTATTTTTAGCTTATTTATATTTCATATCAGCTAGACATAGTTACTAATGTGTTAAAGTTCAGAGTGTAATTGTGCTGACATTAGGACAGTCATTAAATTTGAATATGTGTATAGCAAGTTAATGAAGACCAAAAGTAAGTTTCACATTCAATGCAGTACTGAGCTGGGACTGAAATGAGCATTTACATCTTTGCTAGAAATTAAATTACATGAGTGATGTAGATTAATACAAGTACATGTTACTTTTTGCTCTCCTCGTGAGATGCTAACATACACCCAGAGACCTGCAAGAGAGGTCGATGGACAGGAACCCAGAGATGGAAAATGACTGAAAGAATGTACTTTGCTGCAATGTGCCTTAAGAAAGTACCATTTGCTATTACTGCCAGCTGTATTCATTATTCTAAAACAAAATAAAATGAAAGAAAGAAAAAAAATGCTCTCTTTAACTCTGAGTTACTGTAAGTGCCAAATTAATTGTTGCTCACGTAGGTAAACTCACCAAGTTCAGTCCTCTAATCCAGCCTTGGGCTGAGCATGGTAAATGAAATGTTGTAATCAAACTGCTTTGATTTCCCTGTGTTTATCTTGGAATCATATGTGAATTACTGTGCACTTACATAACCAAGCATTTGCCCTGGAAAAGGGTGTGTTTCTACACTTACCATCCCCCACCACAGTGACTTGCAAGGCTAGAAAACCCACGAGCAGGAAAAAGCTGTGATTCCAGCCTGTGCTTGTCTGAACAGATGGAATGGGGGACAGTGTGCTGCTGGTGCATCTGTGGGATCTTGTTATAGTCAGGAAAAGTTCATAGGAACTCAGCCATCAGAGCAACATATAGTCAAACAATGTCTAATTCTAGGAGATATTTGTTCTCAGCAATCCACAGTTCTTGGCTAGCTTTGTTCCTAGAAACATTGCATGTGCTTTGCATGTGCAAGTTACAAATTCATCCTTGTGCTATGTGGGATAAAATCTAAATACATAAACTGCCCTTTTTTTTAAAAGTAACTTTCCTGGTAAACGTGGCCCTTTAAAATGTGGTCTTTGGCCTCACTGGTGAACTTGTTACTAATCCTGCTTGCCTTTGACACAGGCAAAGTTAAATATAGTGCAAATAGCCCTTGAGGCATTTTTTTTCAAAGCATTGTGCCCGTCCCACTATGTGTCTAGGTGCTGAAAGTGCACTATTTAATTTCATGTTTATTATTTCCTAGCAATTATTTTCTTTGTTACCAGTTTCAAGTTGGTAGATAATTAGACATTTTTTCTATTTCTACATCAAAAGCTTTGTTACTAAAATGTTGTTTGGTTTTTTTTCCCTGAGAACTTTGCCAGCACACTAGTGTTAAGTTGTCCCAGTCATGAGGGATACTTACTTATACATGAACTGAAATTTCTGCATCATGGGCTCAATTCCCCTCTGTTTCCCTCCCGAGATAAAGCCATCAGAGTGCTTGCAGTCAGTAGGACTTAGTAGAGCAACTGAGGACTTAACAGTCCCCACAAGGGTGACATGGAAAATCGTATTGCAGGGCCTGGGATTGTTTAAAGATCTGAGATGGGCTGAGGCCACCAAGGAAGGACAGGAATGAATATGGGGACAGAGAGGCCCCACTGCTTATGAATACACTAGGATTGAGTTTGCAGGGAGAAAACCTTCTGTTTGAGAGCCTGAGAGGAGGAGTGGACAATGCTTCTCTCTTCTGGGTGTAATTTTCTCTCAGTGGCAGGTGGTCAGAGGAGCCCTAAGGCCTGTCAGCACCTGGACAAAGCCTGCAGAGCTAATGGATAAACTTCAGCCTGACAGACCAAAGGAAAAAAGCTGTCCTAGGTCTAGTGAGCAACCCCACCTGAGTTAAACATCCCTTCTGAGAAGGAAGGGACCTAGCATGGAGAATCTTACACAATTTTGTCAGTTCCCAACACAGGTAGTTCTAGGCAATACAGACTTTATCACAACCTGATGTATGGCATCATTTAGTGTGCCATCTCCAAGAAGACACAAATAGACACAAGTAATCCAACACAGTAAAAAAAAATATTCCAAGGAAGTTAGAAACAGAGAAGGAGCAATGAGAGTGCATAAGGTATCCAGGTATCCTAACAGACTATTATACATTCTGCTGAAAACTGGATGTGACAGAAATATGAACAACATCTGATGTGATCTTGGTGGGGGAAGAAAATGGGCTTACCTAGTGCTTTGGTGTTGTTTTGGGAGGCTTTTTTCCTTTAGTTTCCCATCTCTTCTCCACAAATATGAGCAGGAGGTTCACATGCAGAAATGTAAGCATCTGTCTGTGTAGTGACTTGCAAATGCAAATACCATTCCCGTTTTCTTTGCTCTGTTTGCAGGTGATTAAATGCAAAGCAGCAGTACTGTGGGAAGCCAATAAACCACTTAGTATTGAGGAAGTGGAAGTTGCCCCACCAAAAGAACGTGAAGTTCGCGTAAAGGTACTAAAACTAAAACGTAAAACAACTGACTTGCATTCTGTATTGCTGTTTATCAGAATGATTTCTACAGATTTTTAAGATCCAGTCGGAAAACATTCTACTAGTCAGTAGTTACTAATCAGTGAGCTCCTATGGAACATGTTTAAAGTCCTAAATTTGATATTGAGGTTCTCTGAAAAAAAAAAATAATTTCAGGGTTGGCTATTTTGTTTACTGACAGCTGTTTTTCTAATAGATTGAAAAAATTCACTGTGCAAGGCAAAAATCAGAATCTCCTATAGTGTGTGGTGCTCAGTAGGTCTAGGAGTTTCCTTTTTTTCTGAATATTGATCTCAGTGGAATTCAGCAGCTGTTTGCATTTTAGAGCAGTTTCAAATCTTACACAACTGAGGAGAACCCTCTCATAGGGTCAACGAATCCATTTATCAGACGAAAAGTTGTAAATACAGACATGAATGTTTCAAAAGAAAAGACAAATGTGATATAAAATACTACATGTAGCCTACATTTTTGTGTATGTCACATATGCATAAATTAAAAACACATAAATAATATATAGTAATTATCCTGTCATTATTTGTAATATCATATCATATCATGGTATAATACATAACTTATATAACATATATATTATATATTGTTGTATAATCTAAATATAAGAAATCCAAAATATACACAATATTTCTAAATTTATAAATCAGATGTGATGGTTAATTTGTATTTACAGAATGTGGCAATATTTCTACAATATTACAAAATTTCTGTTTTACATAAATATTAGGAATAATTTAATAATTTAGTACATAATTGTACTGCTAGAACATTGCTTCTGCCAGATAATCAATGAGAGTCCCTAGAGAGCTCAGTGCTGCATAGCAAACATTCACAAAGGAGCCTTGTTGTGTAGACTAAAGATTAATCCATACCACGACAATCTTGAATGACACAACCAAGAGTGTCTTACCTGTAGATTTATTGTGTGTCTGTGGGATTTTGGAGAGAAGCAAGTGACTTCTTCAAATGTAGGATACCATATCACTGCTGCATAAGAGATGATATAGTCAAATACTGAAATATTCTTGTCTTTCCTCTAAATCAGATCGTGGCCACAGGGATCTGTCGCTCTGATGACCATGTGATAACTGGTGCACTGGTTATGCCTTTTCCAATAATTCTTGGGCATGAAGCAGCTGGTGTTGTAGAGAGTGTTGGGCAGGGAGTGACTTCAGTCAAACCAGGTATGAAACAGCACTGAACACAACAAACCTGTTCTGAGTTTCCAGACTCCTCTTTAAGTCAAAGATGATTACATTCATGAGCATTTGTATTGCAGAGGAAAATAGTCCAACTTTGGTTTTTTTCAAGGATACCTTGAAAGACACTACCTGCTGTTTATGTCTTTCTGTATTTCCAATCTTGATTGATTTTCAGATTGTCTATTCAATTTCTTTTGGTTTTGGCAAAAGCATCTGCAGCTTGCTTTCTACCTACATAGTACTTTTCCTGTCATGGGATTTGCTGTTGGTCATAGGAAATCAAATATTAGCTGCAAGTTCTTTGAACACAGTTTACACGGCTAATTTCTCTCAAGAATAAGGCAAAGCAAAGCATTAGATAACATGTAGAGTCCCTTCTTTAAATTCTTCTAACAGCTAAATAATCCACTGACTTCAGTAGACTAGAACTTAGGTCTGTGTGCTCACTTTGAAAGTACCAGGGCAGCCCTGGGGTGCCAGCCTGGGCAGGCTTTGCATGTGGGCAGCACCAGAGCAGGTGAGCCAGCAGTGCTCCCTGAGGGCTGGATGCTCTGAGGACACTCCTCTGGACTAGCTGCTCCTCTCACTATGCTCTCTTTGAACCTCAGTGCGTGGATAGTCAGTGACAGACACTGATTTTCCTCCAGCTGCTGCAAGATGCGATGGGATTTCCATATGCTTTTATAGGACCCAACAAATTCTAACACAGGCTAAATTATCAAGAGAAAATCTGCAGTTAAAAAGATCTGCATAGAAATGCTCAGTTTCCAGGCAGTTTGTTAAACACCTAAGTAGTTCACTTTTAACACCTCTGTACTTACAGTGTCTGTGTCCACACTGACAAGTCTGAAGCCTGTGAAAAGCAGGTTGGTATGTATAACAAAAAATTTTACTAGAGATTTCTGCTTTAACTCCAAACAAATACATATATTGCAAATTTCAGTGATAGCTCTAGCTGCTTTTTCTCTTGTGTCTGGGCTCATAAATCACTCTGTCATCTGATTCTGCTGCCCTGTGTTTCCAGGTGAGCTGAAACAGGAGGCCTCAACACACAGGTGCACAAAATCACATTTCTCAGATGCTGCTTAATTTATCCCTTCAAGTTCAAAAAAAGTCTCCAAGATGTGCAAACTTCCTGTAGCAAAATTATTACTAAGCCTGTATCACAGTTCTAAGTGAACTGGGGGTTAGGGTAGTGGGGGCATTTCATGTTCTGTAGACATTTTCCATTTTTTAGTGGAAATCAAAAATTTCCTTTGACTTTCAATGTATCAAGGATTAGCCACATTTTAAAACTGACAAATCACAAACTGATCTGCATTAGGAATTACCTGTTTAGGGATTATTATCAATTTACCATCCCTCATTGCTGTAGACATTCTGGAGCTGTAAAAAATTGCACTGGGAATCTACATGCTACTTTGTTAGCCACATAATGGTGCTAGAGAATTAGAGATGTTGGCTTAGCTTGTGTGTGTGTCACTGCTTCTCTTTTGCCTACCTTGACTCCAGAGCAACTCAGCTAGGACTGCCAATAGGAAAGAGGCCCAAGAGGACTGGCAATTTAATGCTTAATTCCCCATTCTTTGTATGCATAGTTTACAGCCCTGTTATCTTGGCACACCAATCTGCTGTCCTAGTGGATGCCGATTTTTATCTCAGTTTCTTCACCTGTGTATTACTATTCTCCTTTAATGTAGAAGATGCAATAAACTGCTAAATAAATACTTCAGGAATGTCAGTAGCTACCGTGGGTTTATGACATAGGTTAGACTCAGTTCTATGGAAAGACACCAGGAATTTTGCATATCAAAATTAGTTGTCATAACTCTGCCCTGATTAAGTTGTTTATATAAAACACAGAGAGATGGTTTATCTTCCAAGGAAAGCAGAAGGAAATAAAACCATCACTGCACTCCTAGTGCACATTTGCCTGACACTTGCTTCATGTTTTCACCTGCATGCATCTTGTTTGCCTTTTATAATCCTCTGTCATTACTTTTATTTCTAGGAGACAAGGTTATTCCACTCTTTATTCCGCAGTGTGGGGAGTGCAACAATTGCTTAAACGCCAAGGGTAACCTGTGCAGTAAAAATGAGTGAGTTTTCCTGGGTTACTTACAACCCTAACTTTATTTTCCTTTATACAAAACTGATTACATACAACAGATTTCACTTCCCATTATTTATGGTTGTCTTTCAAACAGCCTTGCTTCAAGTGCTGGATTAATGCCTGATGGCACATCTAGATTCACCTGTAAAGGAAAAGCAATTCACCATTTTCTTGGTACAAGTACCTTCTCTGAATACACAGTACTGCCTGAGTCTGCTGTAGCCAAAATTGATTCTGCTGCTCCTCTGGAAAAAGTTTGTCTAATTGGCTGTGGATTTTCAACTGGTTATGGGGCTGTTCTGCAGACTGCCAAGGTAAGTCTTGTGGTGGGTGTTTCTGGTATCTCATGGGGTCTGTTCAGGATTGTGTGGCCTGCAAGCAGGTGGTCAGCATGGCAGCCAGGAGCTATAGACTCTGTTTAGTTCAGGGTGGAAAGAAGATACTAGTTCTCTGCCTACTTCAGTTTCCCTGTCTCTGAAGTACTCAAGCCTTCAATTCAAAATCCAATAAAAATACTCAATACCAAACCAAAGTTTTCCCTCATAGCTTTATCTATCACCTCTAGAAAAATGTTGCAATAGGGCCTGTTTGGTTTATTGTAATCGAAGTCTAGGAATACGTAGAAGCCTATATATGCAACACTCATATTTTGTAGCAATACATGAATGTGGCTGGCACTGATTTCAGTGAGCTGGCACTACAGATCTTAAACACCACTGGAACATAAAGCATCATAAAAAAAGGTGTGTCTAAATCTGAAGGTGAGACATATAATGAAAACCTGGTCTCAGAAATGTATTTTAGGGACTATTTCTCTTAGTCACAGGTAGGATTATAACAGTATAACTGGCTGCTGCACCCATGGGTATGCATGTGCAAATTCCTTCTCAGCAGGTAAATTACAAGAAGCGTCTTAAGTGAAATCATGTCGATAATTAGGAAATGCATTGTACTTTCCCTAGACTGTAACAGTATGCCATGTTTACATGGTTATTATAGGTGGAACCAGGCTCTACCTGTGCTGTCTTTGGCCTTGGAGGAGTTGGTCTCTCTGCCATCATAGGCTGCAAGGCAGCTGGAGCTTCCCGCATCATTGCTGTGGATATCAATAGTGACAAGTTTGCCAAGGCCAAGGAGCTGGGAGCCACCGACTGCATCAACCCTAAGGATTTCAAGAAGCCCATTCATGAAGTCATGGTTGAAATGACTGGCCAGGGTGTGGACTACTCCTTCGAGGTCATTGGCCGTGTCGATACCATGGTAGGCAACTGAAAGATGTGGTCAAATGAGGCATTAGGTTGTTAGCACTCTTCACTAACCCACTAAGCACTGAGCATGAGGAGCTGAGAGCCACTGGCAGAGTATCAAGCTAACTTCAAACCTGTTAAGTCTAGCTAGCTGTCACTGAGATGCAGGGTCAGAAGGACACTCAGAAACTTAGGAATGGGAACTTCATTGTAGTGCCCTGGCCTAACCAGGGTGGTACATTTCACATAGCCCATTATCTGCTTTCCAACAGTGGCATGTCACTAATGACTAAGACAAAATAGGAAAGCAAAACAAAGCTAGGATGTATCTAACCAATGCCAGCAGATACAATGCTGTTAGACACAACAGAAAAAATTTTATGTGGTTTCAGTTACAAAAAATAAATTGCAAGCAGACCCCTGAGAGGAGGAGATGGAGTTCAAATTTTATGCCCCAATGGCAAATCCTGCATGACTCTGGGTGTCCCTCTGTTTCAAATGCAGACTGCAGCCTTGGCCTGTTGCAACTATAACTACGGAGTCAGTGTGATTGTGGGAGTGCCTCCTTCAGCACAAAAGATCACTTTTGATCCCATGCTCCTCTTCACTGGTCGCAGCTGGAAAGGCTCCGTCTTCGGAGGTAGGGACTTGAAAAGATGTGGTTTAACTAGCTTGGGAAATTTGTAAATCATCTTGAATGAAATAGGATATATCCAATTAATTGCTTGGGTTGTGTTATTGGAAGTAATAGCTATTTTGCTGACAAAGAAGTACAAATGGGAATTAATTATGGGAACTGCTAATTGATGGTGAGAGAAGGAGGGAGAAAAACAGGGAGGGAGAGGGGGAAGAAGGGAGAGAAGAAGAGATAGAGAAAGGAAGACAGAAAAAGACAGAAAATAGAGAAAAAGAGGGAGGAAAAGAGAAGAGAGATAGAAAACAAAAAAGGGAGAGAGAAAGAGAGAAGGGTAGAAGAAGAGAGAGAAAAGGAGGAGAGAGGAGAAAAGAGGTAAAAATAAAGAGGAGAAAAAGATATAAGGAGAAAGATAAGAGAAAAGGATAAAGGGAGAGAAAAAAGAGACAATTAGGAAAAGATAAAGGGAGATAGGAAGGGGGAGAAAAAGAGCAAGAGCAAAAAAGAGAACGAGAGGGATAGAAAGACAGAAAGAGAGAGAAAGAAAAGAGAGTGTGGAAGAGATGGAGAGTCAGACCGTAAAGAACATCAGAGGTCATGCCCACCTGATTTCCACATAGGCCAGACCCCAGCTCAGCCTCTGGCCAGCTGCTGACAGTCCCTTCCAGTTCTTTCTTTTCTGAGCTCGCCCAGCTCACTCAGCACAAAGCCAAAGGCCACAGAAAACTTGTTTCCAACAAGGTTTCTCACTCGGAACCAGTTTCTCTGATGTATTCAATGATGTATCACATGAATAAAATAGCAGAGACAAGTTAGGTTTCTTTGAAAGGGCATCCTGCTATTTCCAACAGCTTTATCTGGTAGTGCTTGTAAGAAAAAAGAGACACATCCACCACTCACCCCCCAGTTTTGACCAGGCCAATCAAGTTTCCACTTACCAAGTATGAATGTCAGCACTCTGGCTATTGTATGAAATAGGATTTAGTGGGCACTGTATCAACACCAGTTGAAACCGTATTTGAGGTGGGGGAAAATTTGGATTCTGTAAAGATTCAAATTTTTACTCATCTTCTACCAATAAAGCACTTACTGGGCTTTTCATATGTCGTGGTTTAACCTCAGCCAG